AGGCAGCCTGGGTCAATTGGGGTAATAATGTCTTAGCGCTTTGAGCAAACACAAGTGCGTGGATACAAGCACTTGATTAATGTCCATTATTATTATTTTGGTACACTAATGTACTGAAAATAGTTCCCGCCACCCCACCCTCATTTATGCTTGTCAAATATTTCTGCATGATCCTTCCCATGTCTTTGGACAATTTTTCTTGACTCTCCCAAAATATATACAGTGGAAACCTGATAAGTAAAATTTCAAGGGACTCGCCAAAATTGTTTACTTATCAGGTAGTTTACTTATCCAAACTTATAAAAACCTGCAAATGACAACCATATGCATGTATATGTATGCATATGTAACAATGAACAACTTATCAGGGCTGGCCTCCAGTTGTCAGTGTATTGTCAACTGCTTGACGCCAGCGAGCTGTAAGTAGGATGTTTGTTTGACTGGAGACTGACACGACTGCCCCTCATGTCAGATTATGTGGTGATCGCTAATTTAGTTATCCAGTATCTTTTGTTAAGTAATTTACTTCCAGGGACCGTGAGAAGACGTTTAGTTAAGCGGTATTGTTTACTTATCCGAGTTTAGTTAACCAGACTCTAATAGTGATGATTAATGAAGAAATTTGCCGGGACCAAAGAATAGTGTTTACTTATCAGGTCTGTTTAGTTAAGCGGTCTTTACTTAGGCGGTTTCCACTGTATATCATTTTTTATGATCCTGCCCTAGAGATTGTCATATTTTTGTGACCTTTCCCTAATTCCCTCGCACTCCCAAACCCTGAGAATTAATTACTTGCTCCTTAGAGTGCAAACATGCAGTAAAACCCTGATAGGCTTAGCTTGGGTAATCCAGATAATGACGTCGACTGGGAATGCCTACATGTATATACGTTCTGGTGGGAATAGCCCAATAGTGATTTGTTTATCCATAAATATGCTAATCTAAATGATACAATCTGGATTAACAGAGATTGCTGTATACAATACAATAATACAATACAGTACAATAAATACAATATTGTAAAATAGATACAATACAGTACAATAGATACAATACAATGCAATGCATATACAAAGCATAAGAATACAATAAAATAAATTACAATACACTCATAATACAATACAATGTAATACAATCTAATACAAATACAATATACTACACTGCAATGCAATGCACTAAAGATAGATACTACATACAGGTGTAGCTGTTTGGAAAAGGAGGGAAGCACTTGAAATGCAAAAATGCAAAATATAATTAGAAAACAATTCATGTTTGTTAGAAAATGCATGGACATGATTTAGCTATGTGGTTTTTACAGTACCTTGCAGAACAGAAATGCTAAATACAGTGTTATAGGGACTAATTCATGACAGCCATCGTCCAAATATTTAAAAACTAAAAGCTATGTACTCAAGACATGTGAGACTTTATTGTAATTATTTATATGACGCTAATCTGTATTCTATGCAATCCTTATCACTTCCGCATTGTACATGGACTTGTCAGGCAATTAATTACTGTATATGACATTTATAACTTTCATTGGTAATCCCCCTTGGCCGTGTCTGCCATCACATCAACTCGTCAAGGAAGTGCTATTGTTTTTCTATCTGTCCATTGTTGAGTCATCGCCTGTCCATTGTTGTCAAAAACTGTATATATACTTAGTATGCTCACATCTATTCTGTGAAGGAGGACGAGTCTGGTATTCCGACTCTCTGTGTAGGGACGTCCACGAGCAGGATAATGCTGCTCGTAGGAAATGCCCTGGGGTTGAGCAGGTACTCCGCTCACCACATTTATGTCTAGTGTATTTGTTTGTCATGTAACTAAAGAAGTTTGAACTCAACGTATTCCTTCGTCTTGTCAACATCACTTCGTCTTAAACATGAGCTAATTCCCCAATCGACCATATACCACGCGTTGACAACAGATCCATGTGACTAGATGATAACATTAACATTGGCTGATTCCGTTATCCATTTTTGTGTGAGTTTGGTGTTGCACCACTGTAAACACTAGCTTAGCTACTTCACATTGTGTTAGTTTATGTGGGAGTAACTCTAAAGACACAGGGGTGGTGGGGTAGCCTAATGGTTAAAGCTTTGGCTCGTCACGCTGACGAACCGGGTTCGATTCCCCACATTGGCACAATGTGTGAAGCCCATTTATGGTGTGCCCTTGCATTGATATTGCTGAAATGCAGCGAGCTGTAAGTAGGATGTTTGTTTGACTGGAGACTGACACGACTGCCCCTCATGTCGGATTATGTGGTGATCGCTAATTTAGTTATCCAGTATCTTTTGTTAAGTAATTTACTTCCAGGGACCGTGAGAAGACGTTTAGTTAAGCGGTATTGTTTACTTATCCGAGTTTAGTTAACCAGACTCTAATAGTGATGATTAATGAAGAAATTGCCGGGACCAAAGAATAGTGTTTACTTATCAGGTCTGTTTAGTTAAGCGGTCTTTACTTAGGCGGTTTCCACTGTATATCATTTTTTATGATCCTGCCCTAGAGATTGTCATATTTTTGTGACCTTTCCCTAATTCCCTCGCACTTCCAAACCCTGTTCATTAATTACTTGCTCCTTAGAGTGCAAACATGCAGTAAAACCCTGATAGGCTTAGCTTGGGTAATCCAGATAATGACATCGACTGGGAATGCCTACATGTATATACATTCTGGTGGAAATAGCCCAATAGTGATTTTGTATCCATAAATATGCTAATCTAAATGATACAATCTGGATTAACAGAGGTTTCTGTATAGAATACAATAATACAATAAATACACTACAGTACAATAGATGCAATACAAATACAAGGCAATGCATATACAAAGCAATAGAATACAATAAAATAAATTACAATACACTCATAATACAATACAGTGTAATACAATGTAATACAAATACAATATACTACAATGCAATACAATGCACTAAAGATAGATACTACATGCAGGTGAGGCTGTTTGGAAAAGGAGCGAAGCACTTGAAATGCAAAAATGCAAAATATAATTAGAAAACAATTCATGTTTGTTAGAAAATGCATGGACATGATTTAGTTATGTGGTTTTTACAGTATCTTGCAGAACAGAAATGCTAAATACAGATCCATGTGACTAGATGATAATATTAACTGTGTCTGATTCCTTTATCCATGTTTGTGTGAGTTTGGTGTTGCACCACTGTAAACACTGGTTTAGCTACTTCACATCGTGTTAGTTTATGTGGGAGTAACTCTAAAGACACAGGGGTGGTGGGGTAGCCTAATGGTTAAAGCGTCGGCTTGTCACGCAGATGACCCGGGTTCGAATCCCCACATGGGCACAATGTTTGACGCCCATTTATGGTGTCCCCCAATGTGATATTGCTGGAATATTGCTAAAAGCAGCGTATAACCCAACTCACTCACTCACTCTAAAGAGACACAGGTTTCTTGCATTGTTTATGTGAAGGATCAAAACCGAGGAGGAGGTTTGGATCCAACTTATGAACTGACTGAAGATCTACTTTGGATATAATTTTAATTTGGTATTTACTGTTGAAATCAACTGGGATGCAACTGGCAGCCAATACCTTGCATTGCACGTGCCTGCACGTGCGTTGCATGTACTACCCGTCTTGTGAGGAACACATAGTTCATACTGACGAACAATCACATTTTCCACAGAGATCCTTTGTAGCCTAGTGGATAAAACCACCAAGCTAGTAAGGCCAAATAAAAGAAATGTTGTGGTTCCGATTGCACCTCTTTAAAATTTAGGGTAGGTAGGTAGGAATTCTTTTTTTTTTACATTTTTTTTAGAAGTTAAGTATCAATGTATAATTGTTTATTCTTGCGGCCATCTCCCTCTCATCTATTCTTGCGGCCATCATGTCGACTTTCTCCATCAGAATGACTGATGTCCATTGGTGCCGGGCAAAAAAAATGGTATCTGAAAGCTTATATTATTAATACCTCTTAAAAATACTGGGGTCGGCAAGAGGATTCAAGGGTCGGTCAGGTAATCGGAACCACAACAACAAAATTTCATGCCTAAGCGAAGGGTTGCAGGATCGAAACTAGACATCAGCAAAATATATTGGAAGTTTTCAATAATGTCATATTTTATGATCGTATTCAGTGATAGCAAGACAAAGTTATATCAGTCTTCAAAACAATAATTCAAAGTCAAGGGCATCCTGTAGAAAATCCCTGGGACCTGGGCATTGTGTAGAAAAATCTCCCGGGATTTCTTGGAGAGTGCCACGAAACTGCCTGTAGAGGTTTACTCTGTAGATAGATTCACATCACTGGAGGTTTATAAGTTGGTGAAATAATCTTGCTGTGTAATGCTGGAAAATCTAGAAACAGAATCATAGCAGATTTGGGGTACAAACCCATAATCATAGGTTTCTGATGCATGTAAGGGAGGTAACTCTGCACAGCTAATTGTAGTGTGTTAGATAAATACCACTCTTGTCATCAATAACAGCTTTTGACCTGTGAAAAACAGCCACAAAGTACATGGACATTCTCCAATATTGTGAGGTTATATTGAAAATCTTTCAGCGTTTTTGATAAATTCCCACTTCAAACAGATTTTAAACAGTACATTACATTTTAGCTGGCATCAGAACCTCCGCAAACAGGTCGTTATAATTTTCTTGACAAGTTTCTAAAACCAGGGGAGTTGAAACCAGTGCAATGATGGACATATACAACACTGGCTAATATGTCATGCTTGAATAAGTTTGTGTGATGAATTCTCGTGGTCCGTGATTCTAGAACCATTATGTACCAAGATTAGGTGTTTATCCTGAGATAATGATCTACCACCCCTGGCGCTGTGGCTGTAACGGACCAAGTAGGACCTGTGAGTGACCGCCATGTTTGCAATGTGTATGATGTATGGCTACAAGTAGCAGAAGCATTGATGAGGCTAATAAACCTGTTGGTACTCTTAATTACACTGCACTGGCTAACTCCCTGTACGGAGTTCGTCAGGACATGTTTGGGAAGTCCTGAGAGGTGCTCTGCTGGCGATGGATAAAAAACTGTGTACGGAGAGACGAGATGGGATGAGAGAGGGTCTGCACTGCCCTCTCTCTCCCTCTGGGTAAAGGCGAGTTGCACGCACGCTGACGACAATTGGAGATTTGCTGAGTCGCTTCAATGATATTGATCACACTATAGAGCGATTCACTCAACTGAAAAATTGTGCAGCTTTTCAAAGCTGAGGAACCTCTGTCTGTTGCATTGGAATATTGTGTTGCTGTGTTAATGATACAGATGAAGTGAAGTTGGGAATTTGACGAACTATGTACGGGGATTCGGACAGCATCATGCCCCCTAGTGGCAGGGCATCAACCATGTCCTCTTCACTGTTTGTCTTCAACACAGAGCTGACTATATGTGGCGATACCCTTGGTACTCAACTATTGGCGCAGGTGAGATAATTACAGGTATTTCTACCTGTCTGGTAAAATGGCAGGTGTGCTTGTGTTGTGCTTTTAATTATTGATGTTAAATTACTTTTACCTGGAATTGTCGAGACATTTTGTTTAGCACTAGACTAACATTTACTGTGAAATTGACACTCTGTTGAATCGATACTTTCTATGCACATTTCCACCTTGACTTGTCAAATGGCACTTCTACCTTTTATTACGCCAACTGTCAACTTCATTTCCAAAGAATTTCTACTGTTTTTCTAATCCTTTAATATCAGTACAAAATACTGAAGAACAAGTAGCCTAAAACTGATATTATTCTTTCAAAATGTTATTAATCCCTCAGATTCCATATTAGTTAGAAAAAAGATTCTTAAAGAAAAGTTACCCAAGTTAACCAATAAATCCTGATATTTTTTTCCACAAAGTCTGCAAGACTGTAATATAGAAATGAGTTTTTTTCTGATTCAGACTTGCGATAGAAAATGACAATTTTGACTAATTGCTAGTTTCTGGAACATATTACTTTTCTCCTATGTCGTAATGTACCTGTTAACAGGTCTAGACTGTTAAATGGATTTTCCACCAGCAATTACATGGTGATTAATAACCCTTATGTCGTTTCTACAATTGCTGTTGAACCTTGGCCACTCCATCCCTTTCTAACAAAAGGGATAAGAGCTCGAAAATTTCTCCTCATTCAAGGGAAAATAATTAGTTTGAAATTAGACATCTGTGGGCCCATCCATTGATCAAATTTTTTGTCTGTAGATCAAAAAGAAATTGCAATAAATCGTCATATAGTGACTGTTACATAATGGCGCGTTCAAGATATGTTTTTCTGTGGACAAGAAGTTAAAGGTCACCCTCGTTTGCTCGATTGGAACCCTCGTTTGCTGCTGCAATGCTGGGTTACAATTAAGTTCCTGTGTTGATATGGGACTACATCGTTCTAGTTGCATCCAGGATTAACATGGCGGTATGTAAGTTCCTTCTCTCAATATTTCAAGGGTACATCCATGCGAATATGCTTCTGTTAATTTTATACCATTTTCATATTTTCTTTCTTTGAGTCATAGTTTTAATCTTTTTAAAGTTATTTTTGGTTTTCTTTATGCCATTATCGTCATTTTCTTTTTGTCACCCTTTTAGTCTCCCTTGAAGTCATACTTTAAATGTTTCTTTTCATATTAAGTTAGTTTTGTCATGCTTTAAGTCATTTTTAAGTCATACATTTAGAGTTCCTTGTTTCATCATTCATTAAGTCATATATTTAGTCTTTGTATAAGTCATCAGTTTAGTTTTCGTTATGTCACCCTCTAATTTTTCATTGATTAACATCTTTGGCAGGCTGGACTTAAGGAAATGAAACCATCTTGCACACAGTGCAACCTTAGCTAATTGCTTAATATCTTGTTGCTTAATATCTAATTATATTTAATTTGTGAGTTTTGGTATTAATGATGTAGCACATTATAACAAAATTATTCTTGGCCTGAAAAGATCATTTTATCTTACTTTATACATGAGTTGAACAGGAAGTCATTCAGTCACTGTCCATGAACTCCTCAGAGTCACTGCGCCAAGCCAGTTTCACATAATTCTGGTTGCAACTGAAGTCTGTGTTCTTTGAACAGCTGAATATTCACATGTACTTAGTACAAGCTGGTATACCGGTAAATATGAGGTTGCATTTACAGTTTGCCCCAGTGGAAGTTCTAAATGCTTGAATTGGGCCCTGTTTAGTCTTTTATCAAGTCATACTTTTTGTCTTCTTTATGTCACCCTTTAGTCTTATTTTAGTCACACATTTTGTCTGGAAGTTGGACAGTGTAGCTCAAAGTCAGTTGGGGCGGTGGGGTAGCCTAGTGGTTAAAGCGTTCACTCATAATGACCCGAGTTCGATTTCCCACATGCGTACAATGTGTGAAGCCCATTTCCAGTGTCACCCGCTGTGATATTTGCTGCAGTATTGCTAAAAGCGGATTAAAACTAAACATACTCACTCACTCACTCAAAGTGAGTACTTGGCCAATCATGTTTTTCTTCAGGCTGTACAGTTGGCGCTATATACGGGGGCGGGGTGGGCGAGCTGGCTAAGACGCCAGGCTAGTGATCCAGCGAGGTTGAGGTGCTGGGATTGAGCCCACCTGTGACCGGGTGTAAAATCCTTGGAATCAACTATGTGTGCCGACTTTCAGTGTTGTCACAACCCCTAGTGTACTTAAAATTAAAAGAACCCACGAATCCATTGGTAAATGACCAGATGGTGGCCACATAAATATGTGCAAACACCTAGTTGTGGGTACAGCAACGTGCAGTGAAGTTGGACAAAGTACTGTGACTATGTGTCCCAGTCCACCCAGCTGTGAATGGGTACCTCGTTAGGATGAGAAAGCCACAATAACTCTGTGTGCCTAGTGGCAGCAAGAGTTGTATACTCCTCAGGGAGTTGAGATTGATAATACGATGTGCCGTTGAGATTGACTTCCAATGATCGAGGGAAAAAATACCAGCGCCTTGAGCATGTACTAGTTGCGTGGATATGTGCACTATATAAATATCCTATAATAAATAATAAAAATAATATTATAATATATTGTTAAAGAGTACATGCATGAGAATGGTGCTAAGTGCACAAATACCATAGCCAATATGTTCCTAGATTGCATATATAAACTTTCAGAAGGAAGAACAATGTTCAAACTGATCCTGTCCAAATTAAAAACTTGCTAAATAGCAAATATATTTGAGGAAAATGTAAATATTTGGTACCTGTACTATAAGTTTTATAAAACTACAATGTGAATATATACATTTTACAATACATCATTGGAGATAACAAATACATGTTCCTCGAAGTATAGGACTTGTAGATTTTGGCACAACATGTGACCAAGTTGATAGTATCTCCTGATGCTCATGCTGTTGACCACATGTTTGCCTGGTTCAGACAAGAAGTATTTTAAGGCTCTTGTCATATAACTGATATATTGCTTACTCCAGCATAACAATATTCACCAGTCCTAATCACAAAAAGTATTGGAAAAATAACTTAACATTCTTGTTGAAATTCTTGTTTTTAGTTTTGATGAGATCAGTCGCTCTTGTTAGAGTGTATATTTACTTTATGAAGGATCTATATTATCACATAATTCCATATCGTGTGGAATTTGACTTCAGAAAGATGTTGTGTGAGCGATTGGGACAAAGTACATTAATGCATGAAAAACAGATAATGCATTCTCTGATGCATGGATGCAGTCTGGACATTAAGAAGTAGCATCCGTTCATTGTCACCGCGGTAGTAATTGCCACAAAGGCAGATCCGCGATCTCGTAACAGTGCAGAAATTCTGCCACTCTTTGCGAAAGAATGACTACATCATAGAGTTCCTGGTTCTGATGTTCACTGGGACAGGGTAATGGAACGTTCAAGCATGATTGCTGCCAAACATTCACGCTGCCTTGTAGCAGGAAGTCGTAGCCTGCTTCTTGTGTTGTTAGAAAACACTGGTAATGTTGATTTAATTTTGTAACATGAAGATTAGGTGTGGGTTCACCACTGATATTTTGTCATGGTCAATATGAATGATTTATTAAAGAAGCATTCTTCTTCATTTGTTTTTGTAACATTCATGCTCATCTGGACATTAATTAAATAGCTTTCTTTACAATTTATGGAATTGGTCAGTCAGATTAGGTTTAAGTCTTGTTGTGTTAGTGTAGTATTAACAAAGGGAAGGGTTTGTGAAAACCTTTTGTCTTTGGGTATCTATGGAGTTGGTTGTCTTTTAACGCTGCACTCAGCAGTATTCCAGCTATAGACAGAGCAAGCATGTGTATTCAGTGGTAGACGATGGATTTTGGTTGTTTTTACTAACACTATGTCTATGTTTGAATTCAGACTTCATCATTTGAACTATTGTGGATGCTGATGCAGGGGGGTGGGAGTGGGTTGTCTTTCTGTCTGTGATGTGTCTGTGTGACAATGTCTGACTGTTTCCAATGTATAAAATATAGCCCGTCCCACCGTCCTTGACGGTCTGATTTCGTGAAGGACGGTCTATTAGATGTGTAAGGCCGTCCTTTGGTCAGGGGAAATATTTGAAAAAATATGCTTAAGTTGGTTTGAATGAAGAGTTTTAGTTGTAGGGACTGGCTGTGTTTGTCACTTTTTTGGACAGCCAGTCCTTGGAGAGGCCACATTTCAAAACTATTTGATACACTGCCGTTTCACTAGCTGTTTGTATGTACTCATCTGGACTGGTCTGGATAAAGAACCTACACACAGTAAACTGGCATAAAGCTGCCCAGCTCTAGTTTTATTAACTCAGTGCTGTGTACCAGGCATGGTAACAAAAAATACCATCCCTTAACATCTTTTGGTAAGACATGACCAAGGTTGATCTCCAGACCTTCCATTCTGTGGACAGTAGGGTAGCCTAGTGGTTAAAGTGTTTGCTCATCATGCCTAAGACCCGGGCTCAATTTGCCTTATAGGTACAATGTGTGAAGCCCATTTCTGGTTTCCACCACTGCGATATTGCTGGCATGTTGCTTAACGTGGCATAAAACAAAACTCACTCACTCACCATTCTCTAGGCAGATGTCCATTAGACCAGTGAGGTGGTCCAACTGATGTTGTAATTAGATAAATCAAGACGTTTGTGCAGGCAATTGAGGATCACTGCTCTCACTTTCTTTTGCAGCTGGTATGTTATTGTTTCAATAAAAACTATCAGATAATGATCGTTCATCTTCCTAATCTCCCAGTAATTGATTTAGAAGAATTTCTACCTTGTCAAGAAGTTGGTTGGATACTGAAAGTATATATGTGGAAGTATGTGGAAGCCACGGTGGCTGAGTGGGTTAGACGGCTGATTCCCAAGATGGGACTCAACAACAAAAGTTCTAGAATCTGTACTTTACTGAGAAAGTGTAATCCCAAATGTAACGTTACATTTGACCACTCTCTAAATGGCATTGTATATTGAT